ACATCCTACAGTATTTTTAGTCTTTATTTACAGTTAATATGTTTATTAAATAAAGTCTAATGTTACAACTAATCGTGGATCCCTTTAAGAACTCGCTGATGCTCCCCTGACACCTGACTCCGACCCCCCAGGGGGACACGCCCCACTATTTGAGAAGAAATGGTTTAGAGCTGAATGAATGAATATCAGACTTACTGAAACAGAGAAAGAACTAGAACGTGCAGGGTGGTGGTCCAGAACCAGGACCAGAACCAGGACTGGACACATGTTCCTCTCATCACGGACACTTTGATTTTTTTAATCTTTGTTCTTAATCTGGATGGTTGTGATAAAACTGGTGTTTGTTCTGGTATCTGTGTGCCCCCCGAATGCTTTAAACATCATCAGTTTGATTATTCATGTCTRAAAGAGGTTTAAATGTGGCCTGCTCAGATCCAGCCATGAGGGGGCGCTCTCCTGACCTTCGTCACCTCCTCCTCTTCATCGTCTTCAGTGTTTTGGTTGAAGGAGCGTCAGGATTCAGGGTCTGCTCCTACAACCTGCAGAACTTCACCGCAGCAAAAGCATCGAACCGCCGAATGTTACACACCCTGTCACGGGTAGGTCACACACACAGACACACACTGACACACACTGACACACACAGACACACACTGACACACACACAGTGTTTTTGGATGATTTGACAGAAAACTAAAGGGACTGTGTCCTCCTGCAGGTGGTGTATCGCTGTGATATCTGCCTCCTGCAGCACGTGGTCGATCCAAACGGCGCCGCCGTCAAAGCTCTGATAGCCAAACTCAACGCGTAAGTTTGTCAAACATCAGCATGACTCAGCTGAAAATGAGCTGAGTCAGCTGAACCTGACTGTATGAGAACAGTAGCTAAAAGCAGCTGTTGTTTGTTTGCCTCCTACAGAGCGATTTTCGGGTACAGTGGATTTTATCTAAACGATGGTCTGATCTTTGATTTTACCTCCTCCTCTAACCCTYACCTGTGGCTCCAGCTCACCTGAGCTCTGCAGACGACCAACCCTCTTCTGGAGTTTATGCTAAGCTAACGCTAAGAAGAGTCTGAGGCTGTTGATGAAACTCGTCAGAATTTCAGATTTAATCACATATGAGGAACATTTTCTCCTGACTCATCACTCAGCTAAACATTTTGAAATATCTTTAGCTGATGTTTAGCTGAACTGTAGCTGATGTTTAGCTGAACTGTAGCTGATGTTTAGCTGAACTGTAGCTGATATTTAGCTGAACTGTAGCTGATGTTTAGCTGAACTGTAGCTGATGTTTAGCTGGACTGTAACTGATGTTTAGCTGAACTGTAGCTGATGTTTAGCTGAACTGTAGCTGATGTTTAGCTGAACTGTAGCTGATGTTTAGCTGAGCTGTAACTGATCTTTAGCTGAACTGTAGCTGAACTGTAGCTGATCTTTATCTGAGCTGTAACTGATCTTTAGCTGAACTGTAGCTGAACTGTAGCTGATCTTTAT